AGAGGTGTCCTTTTCCACTGCTGTTTGGTTTGTCTTGATCTCCAAAATTTCTTGGTGAAGTTATAGTTCAGAAGAAATGCCTCAGTAGGTTTATGCCAATGTGGGTACAGGCTAGTGCCCTCCCACAAAAAAGCGGATGTGTGGGAAATTGCGTCACACACACTTCCTTGTGCAATGAATGAAGATGGCTCAAGAATCAACGTCGACATGATTGTGGTGTTTTTACTGTCTCTCTTTGCCTGCGTCGGTGGAGATCAAGGTAGACTAAAAGAATTAGGTTTTTGCATGCTTTTAGTATTTGCTGATGACTAAGGAGAAAAGTTGTTCCACACAGATTGTGAGCGTCGACGAGTTTTCTGGAAGGATACTAAAATCGAGGATGGCTTCAACTATCCACTACCTCATTCCAGAGGTGACATCTACATTTCACAGAACAGGGTATTTGAATTTCAAACTTGATTCTTCTGTGGCTTTTTTTTTTCCAATCTGAAACTCAAAATCTTTTCCCATAAAAATCATTACGCAGTAGTAGTCTGTACGCGATAGAATCTCTCCTGTGTGATCAACGCATGTTTTTGTGGTGTGGTGAGAGTGTTTTTTTTTGATTATACTTTGGTTACGGTATTAGTCGGTGGTTTGTTTGTTTGTTTGTTTGATTGTTTATTGAACATATATAAAACATACAATAATATGACAAAATGCAAACAAAAATTATGTAAGGAAAATAAAAGTGAAAGTAAGTAATACAAACATCATCACAGTTATATGTTCAAAGGAGTAGGAAGAAGTATACAACTTATCTAGTCCTACCCCTTGTTGTGCAATAATGTATACTGATCATTTCCAATACCAAAGAAAAGGAAGAAATCTAAATTTCATCAAATACTTTTACCCTTTTGGTGGGGGGTGGGAGAACAGGAAACACGCCATCCTTTAGATTTCCTGTTGAATCATTGTAAGAAGGACATATCACCAACCTCACGTGTGACTCATGCACAACACACGGAAGAGAAATACAACAGGAGGCACGATTCTGAAGCACGTACTTGAAGTTGGTCATGAGATCTAAAGGCTAATCGCAATGAAAATATTACGAAACAGTCTTAGTTATTCGATAATTTATTAGTTGTACACATGGTAACTTTATGAATAAAACATTTTTACATTGAACTTTTTCTGTGTGCCACAATGGGATGTTTTCTGCGACTCCCATAATTTGTGCGATTAAGTTTTGGTTATTTCTATTATACTAAATGTACTGTTGTATACAACATTTGCATCAGTTAAATGTGGATTTTTTTTAAATATACATTTCATCACGTTCTAAAAAGTAGTTCAGCATTGAGCTGTTGACTGAAACTAGTCATCAACTTTTACATAATAAGCATAACTAGTGTAGGACGGGAGATAACTTCGATGATATTTGTGCTGCTGCACATTGGGTATTGACTGCTTTGACATGGTGCCGTTTTCTGTATTTTGAGCAGTTTAACAACTTCTGCACTGTGTTTAACAAGCATGTGGTGAATCATTCAATTGCGGAGTTTGTTTCTACATCGTATGTTTGAAAAATCAGGATGATTGTGTTGTTGTTCGAAACTGGTTTTTGATATATTAATGATTACCAGTAATTTAATCTTTGCAGTGTGAGACTGGAAAAAATACTCAGATTTTGTGGTATGCTGTATTCCTGATGCCATATGAGTACAACATATTTTGATCCATTTATTTTGTTGAATAAACCTGGAGTACACGGCTACTGATGTAATTATGATCATTGTTAATGCATAGTTTTCAAACATTTACCCTTAGTAGACTTTTGAGTATCAGAATTCTTGATTATAAATATCAGTCAAAATTGAAAAATGGGTTCCCACGATGAACATTTACGGAACTCCAAATTAGTTATAGTGGTTTCCCATTGCGTGATCTAACGGAACCGAAAAAACAGCTTCTGTTCATTTCTGAAATCCTCAGGCCTGCAACTGGTTCTTCATGCTCACACTGCGACCGGTTTCTGTTCACATTGTCTCCTACCAGACAAACATCGCTCGTGCCAACTTCAAAGCAGCTCGATCCACGTTTAACTTCAACGATGACGTCATACGAATGGATAACACGTCCATTGTCACAAAACACTTCTTGGACACCGAAATGCAGCTCAAGTATCGTAATGTAAATTCTCTTCACCCCATAATGTGTTTTAAACGCGACTCTGTTTGTGTAATTGCATCATGATCAATTGAACTTCCTTTTCTAACTATTTCAGGAGAATGATGTACATAAAGAGGACTGCGTGATCTATGAAGTTCATGGTAAGATAGCAAGAAATTGTTTCACGTGTATGAGAGTGTCTGTTGTTTTGTTTTTAGGGATAGGCATGATGGCTAATTAAGTGGTTAAAAATTGCCGTGATTTGCTGGGCTGTGTGTGATTCAATTGATTTATCTCAAGCGGTGTCCAAATCCTTTGTAAGGTTTGGTCCTCACTGAAGTTCATTTGGGCCAATAAAACAATCAGTGCAAGGCTGGGGGCTGCGTCTGGCAGCCGGCGGATTGACTGTGCAAATATGAGGGCGCACACGAGCGAATTATTGACATAGGTCACGCCTTCTATAACAACAGTTTGTGATACACTAGTTCTGTCGTCCCGGGTGAGGTTTTGAAATACAGTCAAACCTTGGTTTTCGTCCATAATCGGTTCCAGAAGGCTGTTCAAAAACCGAAATTGTTCGAAAACCGAAACCACGCTCTTTTAAATTTTTTTTTTTTTTTTTTTTTTATTGAACACGTCTGCTCACAATGGAAAGCGACACGAGGAAGCGTCACTTCCTCGTGTAAGGAAGGCGAGAGGAGTCAAGTGGTGCATTCAGTTGCGCTCAGTTTGTTCGAGAACCGAAATTTGTTCGTCATCCAAGGCATAAAAAACTCGAAATTTTTGGTCGAAAACCGAATTGATCGAGAACCGAGACATTCGAAAACCAAGGTTTGACTATAGTCATAATTTAAGGTCGATAATTGCCATTAAATGCGGCCGGAGAGGGATGATTGTTCATAAGTTCATTTTGATGATATTCTACTGTCCGGTCATAAAGCAATACCTTTTTTTTTTTAAACTATAAAAACTCCAATTTCAATGTCTTTTCTCACATAGGGGGGCCTGTTGAGAGTGAGCCAATGAACTTCACCGGCAGCTTTCCTGACAACAATAAGAGACGTGAACTTCGTGAGCATCTAAAGCAGTGTTTTTCAATCTTTTTTGAGCCAAGGCACATTTCTTTCATTGATTGAAATCCCGCGGCCCACCACTACCTGAAAATGTGAAAAAAAGCGTATTTTAAAAATTAAGTGTTATATTGTTACTATAAGCGTTTTTTTAACATTGAAAATTTACGCAATATTGTAATACATTGAATAGAAATCAAATCAACATCAATCTCATATTTGGTGCAAATCGTTTTAATGGCAAGTAAAATTAGAACTTTAATTTGCTCAGGTTCGGATTTTTTTCTGTGTGACAGCCAGTTCTTGTTCTCCCGGTCGTTTGCGCTCTCCCGCAATATTGTACCAATCCCTTTCCCCTTGAGTTTTTGTATAATTCCAACATCATTCAAATGATTTTTCTGCAGAATGTGTCGCTTGAGGTAGTCCAGCTTCCATTTTGGTCTACATTTTTCGCTTACAACTTTAGCTTTGCTGCATGTTTTGTAGAACATACCTTTCTCACTGGAAAAAGAAAATATCTCACCGAGGTACACTGCTTGTTCTATTTGCACATACATACTCATCTTATTCCATTCCAACGTAAAAGAACTGCAGTTCCTTCTTATTTTGGTTTGGGGTGGTCGACGTATCACATTCACTGCCCGGTCGTTTCGCCACGGCAACGGATTAGCATTAGCGTCACTTATCGCCGCTGCACTGTTATTATAGAGCAGAGAACATGCGCAAGTACTGTCAATGCCGTGATTGGCTGCATATCATCATTGCATCGTATCGTGTGATTGGCTGGACACCTGTCACTCACTGAATTACACAGTAAATTGAAAGAGAAAAAAAAAGTTACATATTTAATTCATTTGCAGTGCGTTCACTGCGCTGGATAGGTTTTCTTGTGCGCTGAGAGTTTGCGACCAGTGCGCAGTTGCGCAGCTTAGCAATATTGTAATACATTGAATAGAAATCAAATCAACATCAATCTCATATTTGGTGCAAATCGTTTTAATGGCAAGTAAAATTAGAACTTTAATTTGCTCAGGTTCGGATTTTTTTCTGTGTGACAGCCAGTTCTTGTTCTCCCGGTCGTTTGCGCTCTCCCGCAATATTGTACCAATCCCTTTCCCCTTGAGTTTTTGTATAATTCCAACATCATTCAAATGATTTTTCTGCAGAATGTGTCGCTTGAGGTAGTCCAGCTTCCATTTTGGTCTATATTTTTCGCTTACAACTTTAGCTTTGCTGCATGTTTTGCAGAACATACCTTTCTCACTGGAAAAAGAAAATATCTCACCCAGTTACACTGCTTGTTCTATTTGCACATATATACTCATTCCATTCCAACGTAAAAGAACCGCAGTTCTTTCTTATTTTGGTTTGGGGTGGTCGACGTATCACATTCACTGCCCGGTCATTTCGCCACGGCAACGGATTAGCATTAGCGTCGCTGCACTATTATAGAGCAGAGAACATGCGCAAGTACTGTCAATGCCGTGATTGTCTGCATATCGTCATTGCATCGTATCGTGTGATTGGCTGGACACCTGTCACTCACTGAATTACACAGTAAATTGAAAGAGAAAAAAAAAGTTACATATTTAATTCATTTGCAGTGCGTTCACTGCGCTGGATAGGTTTTCTTGTGCGCTGAGAGTTTGCGACCAGTGCGCAGTTGCGCAGCTTAGAGGGAACATTGGTGCCGTTGCATCTCCAATGTCAGGCGATAGACCGCACAGGCATATTATATTGGATAATTTCTCACGGCACACCTGGCAATACCAGTGTGCTGCGGCACATGGTTTGAAAAACACTGATCTAAAGGATTACCTCAACTCTTGTACTATTATTCATGAGAGCTGCTGAAATTCTTACTTGCTCATTGTCGGTAAGCGACAGTGGCGTGTAGTCAGGGCCTCAGATGAATTGTGTTCATTTATTTCTGACACTCTTTGATATTCGTTCGACAGCATATGTCTTGGATGCGCTGCTTCCAGTTGTTTGTGGGTTCATTTGTTTTCGTCCAATCGGATTTTGGCTTCTTGTGTTGCCATTTAAATGTACATTTTAAGGTAGGCCTCAGCATGGAAGTAGGTGTACATAACATCTACTGCACATGTCGTTCACATAGGAATCGGGGTCATCTGTGCTGTGGTGCTTTGGCTCGTCGTCATATTTGCGGTCCTTTGGAAGACACTCATGAGGTGATGTGAATCTTCTCCACCCACTGATTCAAGTCACATGTTAAGATGACCGACGAGTCAGTAATGCGTTTCCTCTGAACAACAGCGACCCCAACAGAGATGGAACACCTGCTGATTGTCGCTTCATTCACGGGCAACTTCCCACCCCGTGTCCTCGGTGAGCTCACATTTTCATAATGTACTGTAATCTCTGGGATCTTTACTACGAAAAACACACACACAAAAAAAAAAGAAAACACTGCAAAAGTGAGGGTATGGTCAAGCTGAATTTGTGTATGACCTTGATGTCTCTATTGTTTCCGTGTACATTTACAGGGCTGATGGCCCATACTGAGTTGGACTCATTTTTTCTGTGCCAGTAAGTAAATTCTTCTCGTCTTTACATATTTAACTATTGTTTCTAATTCAAATTAATTGAAAATGTGTCATTTCATTTTGTTGCTGCAGTGCATTGCCGTGGAGTCAACGCCTGGCTTGAATAACAAAAAGGGAAATGTCTACAGATATCAAAGAATTTCTTTAAAATGTTATAATAATAATAATAATAATAATAATAATCAACATTATTATATTAGTCTAAATACCTATGTGATGGACACAAACTGTCTTTCGTGCTGTGTGCCATTGACACACAGTATCGTCGACCAAAGAAGTACTTTATGCACAAATCTACATTTGCAGTGCTTTTAAATTAGCTTTATGGGCGCCATTTGGCTCATGTGATACAGTGAAACTCCTCTCCAACGAAACCTACATGCGCGGAAATACCCCCTAGTGTGAAAAAAATCTCCATGCATTAAAGCCATTCACTCTTTTCTGGTGACCCCTACAACGAAAAGTCCCCCCTGTTGCATAATATGAAATCTTTTTCTCTACCCTTGCCTCGCAATGAGGTTCACTACAACGAAAACAAGCCTTCCGCAAAAGTTTAATCCAACCTCAGCCTACCACAGCCACTGCGACTGCTTAGCTTGGAAACGGCAACAGCAACCACCACACCGTTTTACACATTCGCAGTAGCGCAGAAGCATTTGTTAGTGTTAGCACGTGGTTAGAAATTTCACAAGCAGTTTCAGACACAGCACGAATGTTGCATTGCTTAGGCGTAGAAAAAAAAGTAGTGTGTTTCCGGTAACCCGACCGACGGAGAATTTCTACGTCGAAAAAAAACTTTCCGGTCGGCATTTTTTTCAAACAACC